AGGGGGTATTGAAGAAGAAAATTCATAGGGTTAAGGGTTCACAGTAGAGAGCATAATTTTGACAACAAGGTTGTTAGAAATCTTCACCGTCTTTTATTTCAAAAAAATGAGTACTTTATTTTTATGTTGTAGAATGAGTACTTTTTTTTTTGCTGAAATAAAAGAGTACTTTCTTTAGTAGAACTAGAGTTCTACTACCTTTTAGTATTAAATACTATCTCAACCACCCTAAGAAACCTAAAACCACCCTCCCACCAGGGCGTGTATATATATGTTACATTTTTTTTCTTTCGTCCCTTTTTAGATACTTTTTAGGCATTGTATAACTTGCCAACAAGACAAAGTTATGCTAGCGAGTTGTGCTTGCGCCCTAAGATGTTTGAATGAGGACATGAAGATCTCAAGTTTGAAACTCATTAATAAGGAACAGCATTTAGTGTGATTCTCTCTGCTTTAACATTGTGGTTAGATTTACTCGAGTCTGCACTTGTGAATTATAACAAGTTGACGAATGAATTAATCGAGGTATATGTAGATTTTTTCGAACAACCTCGTCACAAGAAAAAAAAGATAAAGTGCATCAGTCTTTTGTCTGTTGGCCTACAAGGCCACAGGGACATTGTACCAAAAACCAAATATGTGATTGCTGCAATATGAAGGGTCGGTCACTTTATCATAGCAACTTGTGTTAGGCCGCCTGTTTGCAACATGAATGATAATCATAACCAACGTTCCGTGTTATTTTTTACTGTCTTTTTTCTTGTTCGGACTAATTTGGGGTATTGGAGGCTTCTTAAAAATACTTGGGTTACCGAAAGAATAAATCTAAAAAAGTAGCCATTTTGATGCTCATTAGGTGAACGAATGATTGGTTCGTCTTTTAAAACAAGTTTTGTAATGGTCATTTATTCTACTCTTTTACAAGTCTAACAATTACTCCATGCATCTTTTATAGAAAATATTTAGGGAACTTCATGCAAATTTAACTCTCAGATGAAATGTATTGGTGGAAAATAAATTCACCACGTGGATCAATGATATGCTGACTGGTGGCATATGAATCAAAGCAATAAAGGAGAATGAAGGACGGAGAACGGGAGAAGGCATAAGTAATACTCACGGAATCGTCTACGAGAAAATCGTGCTTATTAGCTGGAAAAGAGGAAACAGATACGTAATGGATTACTAAGGATACTAAAAGCCACGAAGATGAAAGGTTCGTTAATAGCCACGAATATGGAAAAAAAATCATCATAATCCCTAATTATGCAATAAATGCTAGTAACGAGCAGGAAGTAAATAGGGCAAGCCAGTTACAAATTGTATCCTTATATAAGTCCCCTTACCATATCTTGTATCCGCATAGAGAAATTCACGAAGTAATACTATCAATTGTTAATATTCTTACTATTCTCCACTATTGGAAGATCGTGTTCTTTCCTATTGGAAGGAGGCTACGACTATCAATAAGATTTCTTTTTCCTTATTCTTTGAGTCTCACTTTCTATTATTTTTATTCTTTTATACTAGGACAAGTGAAGTAAAATTGATTATTAGAAACTCGAATTATTCTTTTATTCGCTTTGACCACAAAAACTATTTTTTGGTTAAACATGAAATAGTATCCGGCCAGTGTTTCGAGTAGATTGTAATTGCTAACCGAATGTATGATACTCATGAACCATGGGTTGAGGGCATGATCAATGTCAGAAACGAAATTGGAGAAAAATCCAAATGTATGAAGAAAATTAAAATATTCGGAGTTGTTTATTAATTCTGAGAAAAGGAGTACATTAAATAAAGGTTTTAGAGAAGAAGAAAATGCTTTGTAAAATGTGTGGTCACTAAGGAGTGTGGTGGGATGGTGGGTCCGTTCGCGTTTAACTAGAGTGGAGTTGGAGTTCTGAAGAACAAGAAATGAGAAACTGGCCTTCTTGAACCTTCTCAAGGATACAATATTTGCACACTGAACATAAAATCCGTGTATTACATTGAATGTATCACGGAAGAAAACTCAAGGATACAATATAACTTTTTTATAAATATCTTTAAATGAATCCATGTAAAATAGCATTTAGCTGTTACCTTACCTAGTTAGGAATCTCAGAATCTGAGATTACTCAAATCAGTAAGTAAGCACTAAACTACAGGATGTATAATAAGATTATCTGCTTCAATAATCATGTTGGAGCAATGGCATGTGGAAGTCAATTCATAGCTCAGTATGAATCAGGTATTCTTCCTTTGATTCGTCGAGCATGGCCTCTATTTTCTCAATTTTCTTGTCAGAGGAGTTCAGGCACTCCGCCGATGGATGAATATAACCATAACCAATCCCTGTGGCAGAGTTGCAGTAGACCTCAGCAGTACCATCTCTGGTCTCTAAGTTGATGTTGTTCAGAACAATGTGGCTGCAGGGCACGTTGTCGCTACATGCAAATTTGATTGCCTTTTGGCTCTTTGAAGTACCACTAACATTCCGGTAAACTATCTCACTTATCCCAACTGCAGATGTCTATGATGTCAAGAACAAATGACATTTTGTTACATTGACTTTCCCAACTATTGGGGAGAACTTAGTTTTTTCCTTTAAAAACTCACAGATTATCAGTTGAAAACATGACAATTGAGAAGAATACCTGATTCTGGCACGACTTTGGTGAGTCGCAATAGAATTGATCAATGATGATAGGATTGGAAACATCTTGCATCCTTACATTTTGGAAGCGCACTGCACGGACATAACCTGCTCCACCCTAAGAGAACAAGAAATTTTTATCATTCTGATTCTAAGATGAAAAGAAAAATTATTTCTATATTAGCAGACAAAATATAATTGCCAATGTGAACTGGGCAAGCTCTTTCCTAGTTGGGGCTCAGGATTTTGTATAAATAAATCAATCTTTTGCATGACAAGGTCACTGAGTCTATAGTCATTTGCTAATTAAAAGGAAACCTGTTGTAAAGTCAGCTTAAAAATCTTAAATTTTCAAATGATCATGTGTGTAATGCCATCTAAAGGGATGAATTCAAGTGCTACACAACACTAAAAGATACCTGCCATGTCTTGATCCGCAGACCATTTGTGGTACCTCTGAGAAATGCATTATCAAGTACAACCTGAGTCACTATACCAACAGAGTTGTCCTTACCAAGGCTCCCAATGCTGCCAGTCATCATTCATACAACAGAATCAGTTTAGAAGACAAGGTGAGAATGATATTTTCGCTTATTCCTTCAGACAATTCGAGTTTATTTACCGACTCCTAGCTCCCTTCTGCAGAACTTCTAAAGGTAATTTTAAAAAAAGGGCATCGATAACTGGCAAAAGGTGCTACCTGATTCCATGGCCAGGTCCACAGTAAATTCCCTTCATCTTGATATTGGAACTAGCATTGACAATTGAGACACAATCATCGCCTGAATAAGACACATTTAAGAAAGCAATTCAATTGCACTAATATGTTATATTCAAAAGAGGGACTGCTTCTTACTCTGTATCTTATCCCATAGACGAGAACACAAAATACTGCAAACTTCGTTCTTGAGGGCAAAATCAGTCAAATAAGGAGTTATGAATGTAGATAATATGAGAGATGTCGAAACCTGTTCCAATTCTGGAATTCTGGAGTACAACATTTGTTGATTCAGTTATATGGATTCCATCAGTATTAGGACTGTCTTCAGGAGCAGAAACCTTAACACCAGTTATTCGTATAGAGTCTGATCGAGAAATGGCAAAGTTCATCTGTTGGCCATTTTGGATTGTTAGGCCCTTCACCTTTATACCTGAGCTTGCATATATAGTTAATGCCTGCAATTAGAATTTGTGTAAGTTGATTTCACAATGCTGATAAGAGTTAGACGTAAGATCCCTGTGGTTCTCCACTTCCTTACAGTTGGTGCTGCTTTGCAAGGCTGTTATCGAGATAAAACCCCCCCCAAAAAAAAAAAAAAAAAAAAAAAAAAAAAAAAAAAAAAAAAAAAAAAAAAAAGAATAAGATTATCATCTGTGTCTGTCAAAACGCAAAAGAACATATAAGTAGTGCATGTGTGTTAGTTACATTAGTCTTGTTCTTCTTGCATGAAGCTGCCCACCATTTGCTGCCTGATCCATCAATAACTCCTCCTCCTTGGAACAGAGCTCCAGTCAAGTTAAAGAAGCCAAGCCAAATTCGTGGATTCTTTGGGTCCCAGTTTTTAGGCTCGTCCGGTGCTATTATAGTTCCTTCAATCTGCTTTTTAATCACGTTTCAAATATACGACCATCGTAAGGCACGTTAAGCTTGCTAAATAGACGCTATACAAGAAAAAGTAATGATTTCTTTGTTTATGATGAAGTCGAAAAAGTAATGATTTCAACCAAGTATTATATGCATAAGTTTCTTCTAGGGTAATGTTAGCAAAATGGAGGATATAAATTGAAACAACACATGAAATAGATTGCAATTAATGTAACCTGGACTCTCAATCTGCCTGCACAAGGCCCTCGGAACCTTGTTGCATTTACTAGATAAAAGCGTCCTGCAGGGACCAAGAGGACTGACTTTGGTGTTGAACAAGCTTGTTTCCATGCATCAACGAAAGCCTGATATAGTACATATGACAAAGTGGAAGAAGGTAACGTGCAAGTTGCATGGATGCAGCATTAATAATCGACAACACAAGAAAGATTCCATTGTTTGTCTATGTTGCCCATCCCCCTAGAAGAGGAGTATTAAACAGAAAAGACTAGAAACCTGAAAACAATCAGTATGAAAGACAGCCTTGATTATGAATAAAGTAAATACAGTATGATCATATTTCAACTTGCCTAACACTTTTCTAATCCATTAATTGACTAAATTTTAAAAACAAAACGCATAGAAGTCGATCTGCATATAGTTGTGGTGAACGTTTCAGTTTTTATAAAACATTAGAACGTATTACCTTGGTGTCATCTGAAGCCCCATCTCCAACTGCTCCAAAGCTATCCACATTTACAAGAATCTTGTTTCCACGATGAGTTTCCCATTTGGGGAGGTCAAAAAACTCTGCTTCATCACCTTCTTCTGCATCCAAATCCTCAAGCTCTGACAGGATGACTTCATCTGACAAATTGATTATTGCAATTCCATGAGCCACCATTAGCAAAACAAAAAACAAGAAGAAGAGTATCTTAGCCATGATGTCTTCTGGTATTTCTTCTGTATTTCAAGATTCACATAAATCAAGGGAGATCATAGAGTATTAATTTATATGTATGTATTAGTGCTGAAAATAGAGGATTTAGTGGGGGGTTATATCGCTTTGCTTGAAAGTAGATAAAGGTGTTGTATTTTCTACATGCCCACACTTCAAGTGTAAGAATATCATTATAGAGATCTTTGCTTTACTCCTCAGCCATGGTTCAATATATTATTCATCAGTAAAAGTGCTCCTCTAGATTCTTTCTCACCCATACAGCAATACATGTTGCAGCGCGACCTTCAAAAGTCCGTCTTTTAGGCAGTCAAATTATCTATGCAGTAGATTTATCTCGTCATCAAATATGAAAATCTGGAAAAGGAAAAGAAGCACTAGACAAAGGTTGTCTAGTAATTGGAGAGACCAAATAAGACATAAAATTCTTATTCAACTTGTACTTGGTAGTGGAGTTGGTTAACAAGAAGCATGGCATGCTTGCTTCAAAAGTATAGAGGCAGAGGAAGTATCCATTCTGGTAGATATACACTTTTTTAAGAAAAAGCTTATCCACAATGTACTGCAGATCAAACAGCCAATTAGCTATCCACATGTCCTTTTTACACACTTTTTATTCAAGTGTATTTAATGGCACTCATGGACCCGAATTAAACTATAGCCAATATCTCTGCTCATCTTCCTCGCAACTGCAACCTCTCGAATATATATTGCAGTCTCGAACTCCCCAATTTCAGAATAAAAATTAGAGGCCTGTAACCAAACAGAAGGATCCTCTGGCTCAAGATCCATTAACTTTTTAGCTGCTCTTCTTCCAACATGCTCATTTTGATGAATCCTGCAACTTCGCAAAAGTGAGCTCCACATCACAGAATCTCCTGCCGATGAGGCATGGTTTAACAACTCTTCTGCCTCAATAACTAGACCTGCACGGCCCAGAAGATCCACCATACATGAATAGTGCCGCCTGTCTGGAAAGACCCCATGAAGTCTCATTGAATCAAAAATCTTTTTCCCCTCTACAACTAGGCCTGAATGGTTGCAGCCCAACAATATACATAAGAATGTTACTTCATCTGGTTTTAGACCCTTTTGGATCATTTCTTCAAACAATCCAAGGCATTCACATCCCATTCCTTTCCGAGCATATGCATTAATTATTGAAGTGAAACCGATGATATTAGGTGAAGGAAATACTTCAAAAATCTTCTGAGAGTACCTAATCTGTCCAGATCTTGAATACGCATCAATCAGAGAACATAATACCATAATATCAAAATCAAAACCTGATTTTATTGCACAGCAATGTAACAAATCACAGCTATCCAAGCTAGGAGAGGAATAGAATGATAATGCCTTTATTGTTGAGGACAGACTCACTTCATCAAACGCAATATTTTCACAAACCATCCAACTGAACAGCTCAAACACATCTTGGGGGACACCAAGATGCAGCAAAGATGTCATCATTGAATTACAACATTCGAGACTTCTTATAGGGTTGCTCTGGAATACAGAAACCGAATTTTCAATGTCATCATTTTTCCCATACATATCAATCAAAGCCGACTGAATGAGGACATTTCCATAATCAAAGCCCAATTTCATAACAAAACTGTGCATTTGTTTTCCAAAGAGTAGTTCCTTTCTGCGACTTGATAAATTCAACAATGCCACGAAAGACATAGCAGATGGATGTTTGTCCCACAATCTCATCTCTTCTAGGACTTGAACAGCTTCATGCAACAAATTATTGGCAGCATAAATAGAAACCATTGAATTCCATGAAATAACATCCTGAGGTGGAATACTCTGAAATGCTTTATTTGTATCAACCAAAATGCCACAAGCAGAGTAAAAATCCACCAATGCATTAGCTAAAAAGATATTTGATTCTAACCACCCCGTCTTAATCACAAGGGAATGTATCTCCCTGCCTTTGTCAATAAGTCTCTCTATACAACAACCTCGAATCAAATAACAAAATGTAAGCCCATTAGGCTCCACATTTTCCAACTTCATATCACTATACAATCTTAAGAACTCATTGGGCTTACCCGCTTCACAAATTCCACGTAAAACCAAGTTCCATACAGGTAAGTTTCGTTTTGGTAAGTCATAAAACACTTTGAAAGCAACATCTGTAAGACCCATTTGTATATACATATTAACAAGTGCACTGGCAATATATAAGTTCATACTAAATCCCAATACAACTACTCTACTGAGAATCTCAAGCCCTTCTTTGTATAAACCTGCGTTAGCACATATGCTCAATATAAAGGAAAAAGTGGACGAGTTCTCCCTGATACCTTGAGAAACCATTTTATTATACAAGTACACTGATTTTCTTGGAAACCCATAATGACTATATCCAGAAATCATAATATTCCATGTAACCACATCACGTTTAGGCATTTCTTCAAACAGGTGGAGTGCAGAGGTTAAAGACCCATACTTCACAAGGTCGTGTAATATTCTGTTCAGTGAGTAAACATCATTGTTGCTCACGGAGCAAAAGTCCAGGGGCAGAGTGGGCTGTAAGCTTTTCTGTTGGCACTTGTGAGAAAGAGTGGTTACGTATCTGCGTATAGCACACGACGCTATAACACGTTTGCTTTGCATTGGTTATGAATACTAGGGGTAAAGACGGGAAAAAACAAAATAATAGTGTAATAAGTAATGTTATTGCTATGTATTGACTTTATTGCTATGTATTGACCATATAAAAGAGATTAGTGGTGGGGAGCTGACTCTGAGCACGGGCCCAAGAACAATGTAGAAATTTACTTTTTAGGTTGGATAGGTGGTATTTTTAGTCAATATACTCACTTCACATTTATGTGAACCTGTTTGATTGGGCACAAAGTTTAAGAAAAAATGAAGACTTTTGGAGTTTGTGATTCTAAACAAGTCAAAAAGGGGGTCCAGCGTATTTGTGGTTATAAAAGCTTCTCAATAAGGCAAAATTGGAAGTTTAAGCTAAATTATTTCCAAATTTAGAAAGGATCATTCTTTTTGGAACGGACCAAAAAGGAAATAGGTTCACATAAACTCGAATGGAGGGAGTAAAAATTACGTAAATTTTTTCTTTAATCTTTTCTTATTTTTTCAACTTAAGGTGCTAAATAAATTCATTTTTGCTTTTATTTGATGAATTTGTTATCAATTATTGAAGAATTAACTTTTTCAAAAATATTCGATATTCAAGGACAAAATAAAATTGTTACTCCCTCCGTTCCAGTTTATGTCAACCTATTTCCTTTTGGTCCGTTCCAAAAAGAATGACCCTTTCTAAAATTGAAAACAATTTAGCTTAAACTTATAATTCTACCCTTAACGAGAAGCTTTTATAACCACACAAATACTCTGGACCCCTTTTTGACTTGTTTAGGACCACAAATTCCAAAAGTCTTCATTTTTTCTTAAACTCCGTGCCTAGTCAAACAGGTTCACATAAATTGGAACGGAGGGAGTATAAGTTACAAAACTTGTTATATGATGTTAGGCCAAAATGCTATACCTTTAGTACATTACTCGCCCTATTTTTGTTCGTTTAGTGATTAATTGTGCGATTTTGAGCTAAATTATGTTGTTTTATGTGCAGTAGCATCGGAAGAAAGAGTCGAATGAAAGTTGCACGAAAAGAGAACGAAAATGCAAGAAAAGAGCACAAAAACACCAAGTACCCAAGCCTGACTACCGGCCAAGCATAGCCAGCTCTGTAGCTAGCTTTATTGTGATACAGGCCAAGTATAGCCAGCTACATAGCCAGTTTGGCCGCGCTACAGTTCAGGCGTAGCCAACTCCGTGGCCAGGCTGAACGCGCTATAATCCTGGTCTCGCGAGGTCTATAGCCCGGTGATCAAAAGGCGTGAATTAAAAGACTCCGACCCGGGTTTGGACTCAAGGACCTCGACCCTAACATATAAATACTTCCTAAACAAGTTGAGAAAGGGTTGGACATCATTTTGGAGAAGAAAAAGGCTACAGAGCACTATGGAGCAAGAATCAAACGAGTTTTCCCTCCGTTTATCTCTTTATTTTGAAGTTTAATGTCTTTGAATATCATGATGATTGTTTATATATTTAGGAGTGGCTAACTCTCTTATCTAGGGTTTGATGGAACCTGTTGAAGGATTATTTTCCGCCGCATTTAATATAAATTTGTTGTTGATCTTTCTGTACTTGTTCAACTATATTTTTGTTGTTGTTGATAGTAGAGCTCTTAATTAACCGTGCTTATTTGGTGTGTACTACTTGAGACAGAGTACGCATTTAGGTAGTTGTTGAACAAAACCACTCCTAACGTATTTGAGAAATCAATACAGAGGGTTTAAAGGCGGGATTAGAGATAACGAAACCTCAGTGCGATCGTAGTGAGCGGTGAATTAGTGTCAGCTAACATAGTTTGAGAGAATACATCTAGTAAATTGTGGTAGTTGCTCAAGAGAGATCTACAACACCCAAAGTTCTCACAATCGGTAGAAAATACTTAGGTGAATTTATGAAAACGTAGCGGAGGAGATTCCCACAATAGGGAAAATCATAACCATAGACTTTTCCAAATCTTGTTTATAACATTTATACTGTTAGTTATAAATTACTGGATTTCAATTACTTTGCCCTTAGTTAATAAACACTCAAACCATTATTTAATATTTCTGAAGGTTGGTTACTTTAATTTTTGCAAAACTAGTGGTTGTGATTAGTAGGTTAATTCCCTGTGGGATTTGACTCTGGATTTGCAAACTAGATTATATTTGCAACAAAATCTAGACCTCTTCGAAGCATAGTTGGGCGTGATCAAATTTTGGCGTCATTGCCGGAAAATTAATAGTATTATTAATTACGGCTAAAAGAATTGTTATTCTTAGTTTAGTCAGCTTTTTCGACTTGAAATTCATTATATTGAAACATTAATGTTTGTAATCTTGTGTGTTACAGGTGCATGCTAGAAACTCTTCAAGAACTGGCGAATTATTAGAGGCATTATTGGACCCTGAGAAAGCTTTCAAGGCACTAATCGAGAAAACAAGAAAGACAAACGACAACAGAACTCAACAGAACGAATCGAAGTAGACATGAATGACGTCATAGAAACCCAAAACAACATAAACAATATGAATGACCCGAACAATCAGGGTGTGGCACCTCTCGTGCCAGAAGCAGCCTTGAATGATTGGGCATAACCCAACACTGAAAATCTGGCAACCGCAATTGCAGTCCCTCAGATACAAAAGGAATTATTTCAAATCACAAACGACATGCTACATTTGTTGCTGAACAAGGGGTTGTTCTTACATCGAAGATCCACAGCGGCATTTGAGAAATTTCATGTCGATTTAGGTCACGCAAAGGCAACCGAATGTGACACCGGAAGCAATAAGACTGTTGTTGTTTCCATTCTCAGTGATGGGAGAGGCTAAGACTTGGCTCAATTCACTCCCCATAAACTCCATCACTACTTGGGAGGAATTGATCAATCAATTTTTGAACAAATTCTACCCACCCAATAATACTTCCTAACAAGTGGATGAGATACTAAGCTTCAAGTAGAAACTATCTGAGACACTGCAAGAAACGTGTGAGAGGTTCAAGGGGATGTTAGTCAAGTGTCCACACCATGGCATTCATGATCAGATGTTGGGGCAAAGGTTCTACATGGGATTGGCAGACAATTTAAAGGCCAATGTTGATGCTTCAACAGGTAGAGCATTTTTGAGAAAATCATTCAAAGAATGTAAGGTCTTACTTGATAAAATGGCTCAAAACTCAGGATGGATGACAAGAGACTCTACAATCGCTATCGTAGTTCACTCAGTAGATCTAGACACAAATAACTCCATGGCTGAAAATACGGCTACTATGATGACGCAATTGAGTATCCTCACCAAAAAGATTTAATAGCTTATATGGGTCCACCAAACAATAGAGTACCTATGAGATTGAAACGTGAAAGCAGTAAAGACTGAATGTAAAGGAGGCCAAAGGTTTTTCTACGTGGAAAAATCCCACACACGGGGATCAAAAAACCACGACCTACACCAGTAGGCTTTAAACTCAACTAACTTGTAATCTACCTATTACAAGCCACTTTGCAAACTCCCTTTTGCAAAGGCTTCAAACTAACTTGTGATGCACCACCACAAGCCACTCTCTAACTCTCCTAGTTACAGAGGATTCAACTTATGACTACTCCTAGTCACAACGCAAACTCAAAAGTTTATGGATTTGGTTTGTTCCTAAACAGTGCTTCTAAAAAAGCGAAGTAGGAATTACAATGTAAAGCAAATAACAAGATTACAACTCAACTATGGATATACATAAGACTTCGTTTAGAAACTGATCCTTAGTGGAGTTGTCTTCTTGTTCTTGACACACCGGTGATTTCAATACTGGATGGATTTTTCTTCTTCTTGAGAGAGTATCACTGAAATGCACAAGTTGGTGTGCCATGCACCAGGTTGTTTTATCACAAAGGATATCACAATAGATAGTGGTGTCAACTCTTGGTGTACTTCTTGTCAGTGGGAAGTGACTGTTGCACTGTCTGCACAACCACTTCTGCATAGGTGCGTTCCAGCTGGACGTTGTGCTTCCGTCAGGACATACCAATGAACCAGGTCTAATACTTCTGTCAGGACATACCAATGAACCAGATCCTAGTTATGTTCCTCTTCTGTAACAGTTGCTTGATGGCTTTCTTCTGCTACATTCCAGTTGTGCACTTTGAGCTGTACTTTTGTCAGAGAACCCCAAGGGAGCAGATCCCTGTTGTATTTCTCTTTATCTTGAATGTGTACAATCACTGACTTGTCCTTTTGTCGGAGAACCCTAATGGACTAGGTCATCGGGTCCCGGTTGTGTTCCTCCATGTGGTCGTCCATCCAATTGCTGATGTTCAAGTGGGATGTGTATGAAGCAGAGCAGGTTCTCTATCTGGTTCTTTACAACAAGTTTGTTAAATCATCAAAACCCAAGAAGCATAAGGTTAAGTAAAACCCATCAATTTCCCCCTTTTTGATGATGACAAACTTAGTTATGGACAACAATTGTTTAGAGCAAAAATAACCCAGTAGTGATGAAGTTCCCCCTTAATCTAAGATATCCATTATTCTCACAACTTAATCACACTGAAGTTTACTTGAGTTCCCACATATAAGGTCTAAGTTCCCCCTTAATGTAAGCGTTCTTCCCCCTTTTGGCATCATTAAAAAGATAGAGAAAACGAGAAGCACCAGCAGATAATAAGCATAAGAAGTCTAACACAGCTAGCTCATGC